TTTGCTGTGTAGAACCTGCTACAATATCTAGTATAATTCGCTCGTAGTTACGCATAAGTTGTCAAACTTACCTCGGCCTCTGCCGCGGCCCCGACCCCTGCCCCTCCCGCGACCGCGTCACCTGCGTCCATCCCCTAAGCCCACCATATCTGTAAAGAAAACATTATTGTTTCATATTAGACATAATGTTTCATATTAGACATAATGTTTCATATTAGACATCATGTTTCATTTTAGACATCTTGTCATATTTCATAGTAACATTAAGGCTCTTGACTCGATGAGATACAGTTCCACATCGTTGAGCGATATCGCACGAATCGAATCTCATATATACAGTCGAGAGGAATAGGTAATGACTTGAAAAAAATACTCATAACTAAAGCCTAACTGCCTAACTGTATCTAACTACTGCCTACTTTGTATAAGACATAGTATTCTTGGGTACTTGCCTATATTAGTGGCAGTCTTCTCGAGGTAGGCCAGTGGTCCCTGCAGCGGTGCCCCGGGATAACCGCCACGTCCGCCCGCCATAAACATGCCTTGCGCCAAACTACTCTGCATCTGGACGTTAATTTTTGCAATAATACCGTTTTAAGATTCCGCACTTCATAAGGAAAAAATGGCTAAACAAGAGTCGGACTCGCGCAGGAAGGATCCGTACTATTCTTCTATAAAATGGGCCTTAAATACTTATTTTGTTCTGATTTTTAGATGTTGTTATAAAAGCAACAGAAATACATCATCTATGAAATTTACAACTGACTAACTCTCATGCTCATGGTTCAAAAAAAAAAACAATGACAGATAGACGGACAGCAGAGCATATATTACATTACTCTTTGCAGCGGAGTCTTAATAATAAGGTTCCGTTTACCGATTGGGTACGGATCCCTAATAAAACAAGAAAAAATCATCTTTCGGCAAATCAATTTATACTTTTTTCCCTTGTATATTACAAAAATTATAGCCTATGCCAGCCGCGTATGATTTAGCTTTTCCTAGATAAAAGATTTTTTTAAATCGGTTCAGTAGTTTTGGAGCCGAGTCGATACGAACAAATCTGTCTTCTTTATATCCGTATTAGTTTAGTTAGACTTTCGATCAACAATGAAAAAGTATTTAAAAAAATATATTAGTTCCCGAAATCAAACTAAATCTCGCTACGGTACTTTCTTGATTTCTCCATGACAAACTTTCCGGTTTTCTTTTTGTAGTTTTTCGTATTTGTATTGATATCTAAGTTTCGAACATTGCAAATTTCAGTTTTTTAATATGTTTGTTAAAAGGAACGGAAATGACTGTTTGGTCCAGTCGTTTCTCGCAAAAATCAACTTTTGCTAGAGTCGCCATCTAGTAAGGTGCTTATTAGTGTTTACTTTTTTTTTTCTTAAAATAGAGAGTATTTTTTAACAAAAACTTCCATTAAAGTTAAATGACAATTTGAAGCTCTAATTAATGGTCTAAATTAGAAAAATTATATGGGGGTAATGTGACATTAAACTCATTACCATTTCAATGGATATTAGTGCAACTGCCTGATAGACAATTACCTCTTATAATCGTATAGTCGAGAGAAGTGATTACTTGAGAAAATGTCTTATCTTATGCATGTATTTTACAACAATAGAATACGAACTGTCATTTGTATTAATAACATTATAACTGTTGACAGTTTTATTATATGTTCTCCAATAATTACTTTATCCGACTATATTATGTTAAATACGAAGGTTGAACTACAAATGTTACACAGAAAGAACGGTCTCTGGACTACAATGAGATTTTACTTTAGCCAAGCCATAATACAACTTATGTCTTTCATTTTTAGTTCGATTTTAGCAGTCGTGTTTCTCAGTTATTTATTTTTTTAGATTAAACTTCTCTGCATTTATATATTAATAACCCGTAAGTGACATAATCAAATATCAACATACTGACTTATGGATATAATTTATTATAGATGTAGGTGTACCTTCATTAGACTAAATGAGGAAGTATTTTTTAAAAAATACTAAAGCACTAAAAAGCACCTCCACTAGATGGCGACTCTAGCAAAAGTTGATTTTTGCAGGAAATGGATGGACCAAAGACAGTCAATTCCGTCCCTTTTAACTAACCATATCAAAAAATTGAGATTTGAAAATTTCGTAATTTAGATATACAACTACGAAAAAGTACAAATAGAATATGAGTTGTTTATTGAGTTTTGAAAACTAATTAACTTTTATACATTAAAGAAAACCGGAAGGGTTGTCAGAGAAATCAAGAACGTACCGTAGCGACATCTAGTTTGATTTCGGGAACTAATGTTTTTTTTTTTCATTAAAAAGTAATTATACTTTTTTGAATCATATTCTTATTATAGAAAAGTATTTGTAATAGTATTAGTAATCGCAAGCACTGGATAGCTCGGTAGTCAGCAGGTACGGTCACGTTGGTTAGTCATAGGATGGGTGACCAAAAATTATTTCGAGCTTCTACGTGCTTTGGAATAAACGTTGACGCGTACATGGTTGTATGTGTAGTCGTTTAGACTAAATCTGTATACAATTTATCATTAATTTCATTTTTATTTGTATATCCTCTCACACTCAGTTAAGTCGAAGCTTGTCTTCAGACTTAATAAGACTTTAAGATGTACACTTTTGTGTATAAAAAAAAAACATTAAATATACTATTTTAAAAGTGCAACAAAAGCATGCAAAGTGGGGACAAAATAAATGAAACAAAAATAAAATTAAAAAGTACTATAATTAACTTGCAAATAAACTTATAAAACTAACTACATAAAAACTAAATTAATGTGTACGTACCATTCTTATTTATCAATTTATAATATCAGTAAGAGAAACAAAAAAAAATGATATATGTGGGTAGTGCAATATTTTTATACATATTAAAAAAAAATTACTGATAAATAAAAAAAATATACTTGGTAATATCACTTATTTAAGCTATACTACAAGCAATTCTTATTGTTGAGAAATTAAAACAAAATCTTACAACCAAAATAAACACAACAGAAAAAGAACCAGGAACAGAATTCTATGAAGAATGACAAATAAAATAATAGATAAAGGTTTCCGTCTATTTAAAATAAATCTTTATAATAATATACATTTAATACCTAATAAAACAGCTTTCATCATAAGGCATCACGGAGAATAACGTACTAAGTTAAAGTGTATAGCAACAGCACATTGAATTATCTGAAATTGCCGAACATCTACAATGGAATTTAGACTTTAATGCATAAAGTTGTAATTCTACATCGACTTAGGAAACCCAATGTAATAATAAAAGATTCGATACCTTGAATGATTTGTCAGATTGCCCAATCACGAGTGCGACTAACTCTCTAACCATAACTAAACATAGGATACGATATTAAGTGATTATATAGCATGTTTTTTTGTGGATAAACTACTAAATTTGGTAGCACTGTTGTTAAATCTATAATCATCATTCTATATCATTAGCTCGTTTTTATTAAAGTAAAAGTTTAAGTATTAAAATGAAACGAATATCACCATAACAACACTAAGAAGTCGTCTTCTATGACTAGTCATGGCTAAAGAGCTAGATGTTCCGAACCTCGGAATGGTAATTGGTCGATCTTTCAGAATATGTTAATCTGACATATCATTCAAGGTTTCATTTTGTCAGATCAATCTATACTTTAGTTACGCGTATGAGCTGCTGATTGATTGTAAAGTGGTTCAAAATAGTTTCGTAATAAATTATCTATAGTTAGATAATATAATTACATTTTTGTTATAACTTGTAATATATTGTCAGTTTCATGTAATAAATCTTAGAAAATATTTGCAAATTTTCATTATTATACAAATTTCTGCTTTCATAATGTAAATATGTTCTTTTCGATCAGTTATTTTGGAAAATTTATTGTCAACCACACATCAATAACATTAATTAATAATTAGCGATAAAAAAATAATCCTCTCGTTCATAGGAGAATGCCTTTTTTTGTATGGGGATTCTTACCAACTTGCGTCAAACTCAACGAGTCAAGTTTTTTAAACTTTTCACTATTAAAAATAATACAGAGCCTGCGTATATTTATATAGAAATGCGTTTGAAGCCGCACTTAAGAAGTATATTACACAATATATATATAACTACACCTACATGTTAATACTCAACTGATATGTTCTATTTATTTTTAACAAATAATCAGGCACCGACATAAACACCGACCGGCGTTTTCAATACAAAAGTAACTATCTAAATACATACTGTCAATAGTTTTATTCATTAAAATTACAATATTACAATAAAACTTATTTTTTTCCCTAATTTAAGTGTACCTGTGACGCAATATGGTATAGAAAAAGGCAATCTCCTTTCTTTTTCTACAGATATACGTTTTGAGGTTTTTTTAGTATATACGTACATCCTAAAGAAAAAGTTACAGCCTTTCTTTCATAAGGCATTTCGTAAAATTTTATACAAGTTTTAAATATAACTTTCAAGAAATATATAACAGATCCAGAATAAAGCACCCCTCGCCTTTTATCGCAAATGTCGCTTGTTCAGGGCCCAAATTCTGCTAACATTGAGCTAATAATGGCATCTCTATTAATAGGGATGATGACTGGGTAAAAAAATGCAATTCTATTTAATTAAATTAATAGAAGACCATAGTTTTTTTTTCTTTCTTTATTTATAACGTATTGATCTGGTAATGACATGGTTTTTGTAAATGTCATTACTCGTATTAGAGCTGGTGAGTTTCTTGCTCGTTCTTCTTATCAGCCAAAAGACGTCCTGAACGAGCGGTAGGGAAAAAATGTTGGACGATTCAAACTAACTTTTATGAAGTCTATTTGAATTAAGATTATTGTGACTTTGACATTTTTTGGTTAATTAAAGCAAAAAATACGTATCTAATATATTTCTATTATCTGACTGACGGACTGAATAGATTATTATTATTATTTTTATCCAGGCATCATCCGTATTGTTATTTTGAAGATGCCTAGTGAGGTGGGGGTGTGCGACATTAGTTCGGCTACCGGCGGGGCCCGGGCGGGGCGGCGGGGTAGGCGGGCGGGTGCGGGGGGCGCGGTACCTGCTGCTGCTGGAGCGCCGCCTGCTGCTGGAGGGCCGCCTGCTGCGCCGCCGCCGCCGCCGCCATCTGCTGCGCCTGCGCACAAACAGCTATCATGTCCTAAGAGGGAATATGCTCCTGATACGATAATGGGTTGAATATATTGAACTGAGTGGTTCGCACGCCGGTTTTAAGGTGTCGCCATTTCTGAGGTCGGTGTAGAAAACGAACTTTTTAATATTGTCTCAGGTCTGGGTGTTGTGTTACCTTCGTTGTCTCAGATACTCCATAATAAGGGGGCTTTAGCTACTCATCTTGGAATCTGAGCAATGTATGTGATGTTGTTTAATATTTATTTAAAATGCAACACCAAATACATTATATAGAGAACTAGTGGCCGCCAGCGACTTCGTCCGCTTTTTCCATTATTTCTTCGCTCATCATAGTTACAGCGTGATGTTATATAGCCTAAAGCCTTTCTCGATAAATGGTCTATTCAACACAAAAAAAAAATTTCAATTCAAACCAGTAGTTCCTGAGATTAACGCGTTTAAAAAAACAAACAAACAAACTCTTCAGCTTTATAATATTTGTACGACGCAGCGCTTAGTTGACCACGCTAACACAGTACACCATAAATTTTAATTATATAAGTTGTAGTTGAAGTTAGTTGTAAGTTGAAATTGTAAGTATATGCGAATTATCTTAAGAAAATTCACAGTTTAGATTTATAAGTTTATTTGATGTTACTAGTGTTATAGTTAGATCGATACTTATTTAATAATGTATATTTCACTCTAAAGTAAAGTGTGCTAAGTTCAAATGTGCTGACTATAATAATAATAGTTTCCGTATTTATTGAGCGCATTGAACTTAGCAGCTGACCGCGCGGCTAAACCGTACAATATTAGTATAGATAAAAAAAACAATAGAAAAAAACAACGAAGAACAAAGACATATACCTTTGTGCAGCAGACAGAAGGGGTATTTTATTACTATTAACGACTAAAAATAAGAAATACCATGGACATCACTATTTAACGATTGTAATACGGCAATCGTTATCTGTCAGTGAGCTGTCACTGTCACTTTGGCATTGACGTTGACATAAGACTAAATTCGCGCCAATACATACCCGCCGGTCATGGATTGTTGTGAAAATATTAGAATAAGTTTCAAACATAAAATAAACCATTTAAAACAGCTATAATTGTGTTTTCAATATTAAGAACATAACTACTTGAGAATAATGCGTATGTAAATTATATTTAACATAATTTAAGACAAATGAATATGAGAAAATGATTATTAAAAAGTGCAAAAAAAAAAAATTAGGGAAATTCAAAATCACTCATAATTGTTACAGCGAATGATTTGAACAATTTTGCATTCACAATGTTATTCTGTAAAATAGTCTTAATGAAAAGTGCTTCAGTCCTGTTAGGTTCTGGGTAGTTCAGTGGTTAGAGCAGTCGCCCGGATTGCGAATGGGTTCGGGTTCCATTTCAGAGTGCCAGGGACAAAGTGGATTCTTTAAGCATTTCTCATTAAGAATATCAATGTATTATGTCGCAAATTAAACATGAGAGATAATTTAATATTAGTACTAGGCAAAGGCACTCAGCCATGCTGCCAAATCTTGAAAATTATAATCTAAATAATGTTTAATATAAACTTTTTCAATGCAGTTGCTCATAAAGCGCTATTTTTTTAATCCATTGTTAACATCGAAAGTGAATCTTTAAACACGTGTTAAATAAAAATGTACTGAAATCCTTTACTGCACACGTGCTTGAAAGTATTTTTTTGGCCGAGCACCAAAGAAATTTAAAAAAAATTGATGAAAGTATGTCAAATTTTAGAGGCAAAAGTATTTCAAGGAGCCTAGAACGAATATTTTCACATAAAAATGTATAACACGAAAACATGTTCAAATATCACGTTTAATTTTAACAAATATTTTTTATCTTTAATACATACTTAGTTTTATTAACCTACATATTTGTTTTATTTCCTCGCAAAAAGCATTGAAAAATGTCGTAAGAAACTTGAGCGTAAAAAGATTTTCGAATTCGTGCCAATGAAAACCCTCGCTACGCTCGTGTTTTCAATTTGGCCCTTATTCGTAAAACCTTACTTTCCGCACTTGTATCTTAAATAACTTTTATTTCACCAATTTGGTTAACTATACGATTATTAAAAGTCAATTATACTAAAAAAAAGAAATGAATTGTTGTTAATCGATTTGAGTAATTCAATAATAATCAATCACTCAAAATCCACATTGGTTCAATATGCCATATCTCTATAGCGTACTAATCGTACTTTAGTCGCCACGACAAGCGCACAACAAAATCGCTCATGTGAGGCAAATTAGTATATTTTACATACTGTATAATGTAAGCGTTAAAAAAAAGGACATTCAAATAAACGATTCTTAACTTCACTTAAATGACATGAGGCAGCTATTGAAAATAAACTGTTATATTAAAAATATTGTAACTGTTTTCCTTTTTACCCGACTGCGCGACGCAAAGGAGGGTAATGTGTTTATCAGTCTATGTATGTATGTATGTTTGTTTCTATATGGCGTTCTAGAGACCAAATGCGTAGGCCGATTTGATGATTCTTACGTCAATCGATTCGTCTTAACCTTGCGAGTGTCACTAAAGACATGACAGTAATCAAAATTCACCACAGCGACAACCAGACGCCATATTGTCTAAATGAAAAAAATATAAATTTGATTGATAAAATTTGAATGGGCCCCGAATATGAGTCGTTCTGTTCTGTATTACTTAACTGAATTCTAAACTACTGGGCTTGTTTCTTTCTTTTTAGTTTTTAGTTAAGTTAATTCTTTCATGTATTTTTAAATTCGTTTTTACGCAGTCGGGTTTTTTGTTTTTTTCCCCAATGTAGCGCCAACATATTAAAATTTGTCGATTTATCATTAGATTCTAATATACCCGTGCTGGGAGTGTGGCAAATTTGCGCCGAACATTCGAATAAATTAGGTCAGCGTTGGAACCGGCGGGTTCCTTGCTGGACCCCGGATCTTCCCCCTTCTCCCGCAACGGGTGTTACCAGGTAGACCGATTTCGCTTAAACCTGTCCTTTTAGATTGGGGACGTCGTTCAAGAGCCCAGGTTTAAGTTTCGCCTGCATTATCAAAAAAAAAAGAAAGCGTTAGGAGGGTTTATTTATACAAAGTACTTGCCTGTAAATTTTGCGGCACTTGTGGTGATTGTTGCCTTGGCGAGGGTGAGGCTGCCTGCTGAATGCTCGGTTGTGTGTTCTGTTGCTGACATTTATTGTACACTGTGTGCCCCTGTACACAAATCATTGTCTAAGAGGGGGAAAGCTAAAAGACAGTCATGTCTATCTAATTGCGCCTGGAAAAGATAGGCGCGTGTTACTAGCCTTAAGATTTTCCATTTAATATGAGATTTATCAATGTTTGATGGTATAAAAGTCTTAAATGTTCTGTTGGTCGATATTCAATTGAAACTTTTATCATCATGCATTTGGTAAATAATATCTAAGTCCAATGCGGAGTATGCTCTTTTTTTATACTTACATTCATCAACTCATGTTTTGTAAATCCCAAGTTTTACCAGTAAAACCTAAGATTTACCGCAATTCAGGCTTTTACAGTAACTTATGCACTCAATATAAAAACATTGGCGAACTGACTACTTACATTATGCCATTGTACTATCTACCTGAAATCCAATATTATTCTATATATGTCACCATTGATTTGTGAGGAAGCCACATCACTAATAATATTGGACCTGTAGCGTAGTGGATAAGTGCCGCGGTCCGCGATCGTTGTTGTTAAGCAACTTTCGCAAGGGTCGGTCACGGGATGGTTGACCAAAAACTATTATCTCGAAATACTTCGTGCTTCGGAAAGCACGGTAAGCCGGTGGTCCCGGCTGCATTTGCATTCGTTAATACCCTCCAATCCGCATTGAAGGCCTGAGTCCCTGCAGTGGCGACGTAAAAGGGCTGATGATGATAATGATGGCTAAATATAAGTCGTTCAGATACTATTGATACGCGATATAAGCAGAATTGGCCAACAGGTTCTAAAGGCATGCCCTTGAAGTGGGTAGACCAAACCTCTTACCATCCCATGTGGCCATCGTGAATAACGCATTTTCCCTGGGACACAAAAAGCATTGAATATCCAGCCGTACCTGCAGGTCAGCTAACAAGTTCTGCCACTGGCCTATCTTGTCGTAGTGGCGGCGGAGGAGCTCCTCCTTTCTCTGGAGTTCACACTTCAACTCATTGTTGTCTTCCTTCACCAGGAGCTCAGGCTTCATAGCCGACAGGAGGAACCTGAACGTAATTTACTATTGAACAAAATCCAAACTAACATTATGGCTCTGTATGTGTGTCTGTTACGTTTTCACGCATAATATATACTGAACCAATTTTTTATGACATTTGATACAAGTAAAGTTAGTATTATAAATGGTATCGTCTTCGTAGATGAGGCAACCCATAAATGTGATACTACCCACTATATAAACTATTGCAGAGCGCAGTCCGTTATATTCTCGACGTCACTATTCATGTATGTGTTTAGGGACGTCTGCGCCGCCCCCCCCCCCTTGAGGGGGGGCGGTCGCTCAGTTGAAGGTTCGTTGCCTCCGGGCGTGTAACCATTAGTCCAAGGCGGTGTTTAGTCAGTAGGAGTCTGACATAACCCCCACAGCCAGCTGTGTGGGTATCCAATGAAGGATTCACCGCCTCCTTCCTCCGTTGATGGGAAGGTGGTTCCGAACCCATAAGGTTGAGAACCGAAAAAAAAAAAAAAAAAAAAAGCAGTCCGTTATCATTCTTCGTGGATTCGTCGTGGTGTACAGACGTTTGAGTAGCCGCAAGTAATAACACTGTTACTCTGTGTGTTAGATAGACTTAATTACTTACAGTACAAGAAGTTCTTAAGATAGAGATATTAGCAGATTAATAATTATAAAGCTACTCTGATGTCTCGCAGTTGACATCTATAGGTATCAATTCCTATATCCTACTCGTATAATAAAATACTAAAAATTTTATCAAGCTTTTATTGCTAAATTGCCGTGTTACTTAGTAAAACTTCCCGGTTTTAGATTGGACCAAAGTTTAGCATTCGTTTTTCTTATTATCCAGAAGCTATCCTGAAAAAATGCTGGACGATTCAAAAGTACCTTTTTGGAGAAAGCTTTAAACTATGGCTCACCGACCCCGCGCCTGCCGTCCTGAAAAAGATAGGCTTAAGCGAGGTAGCCCTACCAGGTAAAACCCGCTACGAGTACCGTCTAGGGAAGGGGAAGGACCCGGGATCCGGGTAGGAGTTGTTGGTGATTGGAAAGTACCTACTTGACTTTGATTTTGACTCGACTACCTATAGTTTAAAAAATCGTGTGAAATACAAATATTTATTATCAATCTTACAAAACCAAATCATCAAGAGACTAACGGCGAAAACAGGCCCGGAACAACATTTTACATATATGTATGGGGCAAAGAGTTTGGAACTACTTTTAGTTTCTTCTATGCGGTGTCTGACAACCTCCTCGTGGTGCACCCTGGGCAACGTGGCCGCTCAAAGCATCTTTGAGCCGCCACGGCTGATGTCAGAACATGTGAGGGAGCCCATCAGGCGTCCTGGACTTATTCCGGGTAGCGGCTGACGGGCTGGGAGGAGGAGGGTTCGACCCCTTCGGGTGGGTCGTTGTTGGCCCTTTTCAGGGCCGTCTTGAGGTGCGTAGGGGGGGTGGTAAGACCTTCCTGGTCGCGAACGGGGGGTTTCCTCTTTTGAGGAGTCTCGTTGTTGGTGAGGGCTCTGGGCCGGCGCCCTGTCGGTAAGACGGGTAGCGGCGGCGCGGTTCGGGTTGGGCGGGCGTCTCGGGGGTAACCCGGGATACGGTCGCGCCAACGAGGGCGGTGGGTTCGTCGTGTCATGGTGCCATGAGCGGCGGGCGTCCTTTTCAGGACAACCACCGGCCGACTCGTACCTCCGCGTTGAGTGGAGACGGGGGGGCTACCCTTTGCTGGGCGACCCTGTGTGGACGAGACCACGGTAAAAAACGACCAACCCCACGCTTGACCTGGGTCAGGGGGTGAGTGGCTCCTGGTAATGGAGTCGCTACAGGTCCTCTGGAGGCGGGGACCGGCCGACCCCCGCCTTCACAAACCTAGGCTTGCTCGCACATCAGGCCTCTGTGCGAGTGGACGAGTACTTGCCTTGTTGCTCGTGGGATCAATCATGGAAAATCTAAAAAACCTTAAAACTAAAACTGTGGATGAGAGGAGGCCTGGCCCAGGCGGAAATGGGAAGGAGAATTTAAGAGATGAAAAGGGGCGCTTTGTAGCTCGGAGGGAGTCGAGGAAGGAGGAGAGTGTGCATGGCTCGGACGGAAGAGAGCGGAGTAGAAGTAAAGGTCGAGAGAGAAAGCTGACAAGCTCGGTTGAGGATAACAGATCTACGTCTGAGGACGGGACGGAAAAGACGGCAGCTGAGGCTACGCATGTGGTGGTCTCTACGGACCAGATCATCGAGCAGATGGAGGCCTCTACAAAGGAGCTAGGGACGTTGCTGAGCGGGTCAAAAGCGAATTGCGCTAGCATAGTGATGACTGCTCACTTAGTAATCGATAGAGGACTGTGTTTCTTAAAACACTACCGCGACGTGTTGGTGCCTGACTTGTGCTCACAAATCAAGCGGCTGGAAGAGGAGCTGAAGGAGACGAGGACGGCCAAAGTTGGCGTCGACTCGGGCCACCAGACGGAGACTGCGTCGTTGCGCTTAGATGCGGGAAGTCAGACGGAACCCACAGTCTGCAAATCAAAAGAAGCTGGTTGCCAATCGGAGGAGGCTTGGCGTAATCCGTTACGCCCACCACTGCGCCCTCCACTGGCTTCTGATAAGAACAAGTCTCTGCCTAAACAAAAGCCGAGGCAGAAGCAGCAGCAGAGGAAGCAGCTACAACGGCGGCAAGAGAAAGGACTGCCTGCAAAACATACTGCAGCCGGGGAGGTGACGACGACGAATAAGACTCGCCAGGAGAGTTGGGCTGAGGTGACCCGTAGAGGCAGGACAAAGCGCAGCGAAGCGCCTGTGCCTGGTCCGGCTGCTACTGAGACGCCTCATACGAAGAGGAAGCGCGGCAGGCACAAGACTAAGGTGCCTAACACCTCCGCGGTGGTGCTTTCGATCCCCCCGGAAGCGGAGGCCAAGGGGGTGTCGTACAAGGAGGCGATCACCAAGGCGAAATCCCAAATCGCCTTGACGGACTTGGGCATACCAAGTTTGAAGATGGGGAGAGCGGTCTCAGGGGCCTTAATTTTGATGGTTCCTGGTGCCGAGAGCGAGAGTGGGGCGAAGGCGGACCTGCTTGCCTCAAAACTGGAGGAGGTCTTTAATGGCGCTGTGGAGGTCTCGAGACCGATTAAAAGAGTGGATCTCCGAGTTACGGAGTTAGACGACACTGTCGGAGCGGAGGAGTTGAGGAGGGCGATTGCCTCTCAGGGAGGTTGCTCCCCCGAACATGTCAAGGTGGGGCCGGTTGGGGTCGGCAGAGGTGGGCTAAACATGGCCCTGCTGCGTTGCCCGATCACTGCTGCCAATACTTTGGCCAAGGAGGGCAGACTCTTGGTCGGGTGGACCTCGGCCAAAATTCAACGCCTGGACTCGTTGCCCTTGCGCTGCTACAAGTGCATGGGCACGGGTCACGTACGGAGGATGTGTCCCTCCAAGGAGGATCGCTCTGGAGCTTGCTTCAGATGCGGCCTCGAGGGACACAAGGCGGCGTGTTGCCGCGAAAAGGTACGCTGCGCGGTTTGCGCGGACTCGTCCTTACCGAGCGGACACGTGATGGGGAGCAAGAGGTGCTCCCCGCCTTCCGTACGGGCACGGTCGGTTCCCGTGCCCCAAGGTACTCGTGCGGTACCGGCTGAGGACCTCCCTGAGGTGATGGACACACATTAGTGTGTCTGTCTCTCCTAGGGGGGGGACAGCTGGAGCGGCTAGTAGCTGACTGGTTCCCTGGCAGGGTTACGTCTGCCAGGTGCGCCTGTGTCGCTACTAGTGAGAGGTACTTGGGGAGTCGACCTGCGTTTTGCAGGTAAGGGGATTTCCTCTGTGGCCCTGGTCTGGGTGCCCGGCTCGGCCGTCATACATACCGCTTGGTGTGTGTGGCGGCCGGTCCGGGCGGTACCATTCCGGGGCCGCGCAGAGAGGAGCGGCGGAGCCGGTTGATGAGGCCTGATAGCGCCCTTTTCAGGGCTGTGGTCGGGCCGTACTCCGGTGGTAGCTGCGACCGTACGGGGGGAGGGATCCACGATAAGGGCTCTGCCTGTGTGGGTCCTTCCAATAGATGGGAAAGAGACAAGAGATTGCACAGTCGCGCATCTCTAGTCCCTAGTCGGGGGCAGCTGGCTGGTTTGCGCACTGGCCGGCATTGCACGTCTCCGCCCTGTCTGGGGGGGTACGTCTCGAATGTCTCTGAGATGTGCCGCCCAACCCGCGAGGGACCTGCCCTTTTCAGGGCGGGCCGAAATGGGGGCGAACCGCGCGGTGTATGGCCTTCGGGCCGATCCCGTGCATCGCCTTCTATGCGAGGGACATCGCTGAGTTTTAGTGGGTAAACTCCTGTTTCTTGTCTAACCCCCATTCTGGGGGTGGGGCCACAGGAGGAGTCCCACATAACCCGTGAAGCCCGCGCTGGGTGTAGCGGGTATGCGTAACGCCGTAAGTCTCCCGCGTTGTTCTGGGATAATTTTGTTATCGCCCTACTGCTCCTTCACACAGCGTTGATTTTCTAAGTTTTTGCTGTACCTATACACTTTGGCGCTTCAAGATTTCTTATATATCTTATATCTTATAAAAACTGGCGGCCGGGGCAAGCGTCCCCAGTTGCCCTTGAGCCCCCATTCTCACTAGATCCAGCCGTTCTCAGAAAAAATCAAGTGAAACCGTGACACCTCAGACGCTTACCTCTTTTGCAGGAAGAACGCCTCCATTTGTCTGGCAAGGTCAATGAACCTCTCTACTTCCACTTTGACTTCTTCCTTCTCCACGCTCGGAGCCGCCTCCTGCTTCGTCAACACGTTCAGACATGCCTGTATCAAAAATATTACGTCTATTTATATTAATCTCGCCTAGGAAAGCAAAGGAACTCATGGCCCAATGGTTAGCGCGCTCGATCTGCGATACGCTTATTAAGCAAGTTGACAAGGTTCGATCACCGTTTCCGGATAAGTGACGTTATTTAATTTTTGGTTCTGTTCTGTGAATAAATTAAATTTGTTTAAAGAAAAACCATATTTTTAATTGTATTTTATAATATTACAACTTTTCTTATTTGACTGATAAAACATGTCATAAAAATACATATTAAAATAAATTTCCATTCTTAAAAAATCACAACAATAGGAGACCAAAAAATGTATTATTTTTTAAACCAATTATATTTTTGGGCTATGTTAATATTTCATCGTCATCATCATCATCACTTCAGCCGAGAGACGCCATGTTAATATTTGCCAAATAAAAATTCATTTTATGAAAATTTAACATACAGCCGATTGTTTGCAAAAAACAGAAACATAATTTTCAAAAAGTATTTAAAAAAAAATAACATTAGTTCCCGAAATCAAACTAGATGTCGCTGCGGTACGTTGTTGATTTCTCCATGACAAACTTTCCTATTTTCTTTCAAGTTTAAATTAGTATTTAAAACTCAATACACAACTCGTATTCTATTTGTACTTTTTCATATTTGTATCGATACCTAAGTTTCGAACTTTTCAAATTTCAGTTTTTTAATATGTAAGTTAAAAGGAACGGAAATTACTGGAAACGAATGGACCAAATCCATTCGTTTCCTGCAAAAATCAACTTTTGCTAGAGTCGCCATCTAGTGGAGGTGCTTTTTTATTGCTTTCGTTTTTTTTTTAATACTTCCTCATTGGCTCGGTAGAATAAAAATCGCAAATATGTGTCTAAATAGTAGATAGGTGCGCCGATACCGAAATCATCGAGGCCGCTGGCATGGAAGTAAAAAATCAGCGTCGCACAGTGTTCCATTTGAGAAAAAGGTGGACATGGGAACAAAAGTTTTATGTGCATACATCTTTGTAAACCTAATCACTTTTATTAATAAACATGGACTAAAACCAGATTAACTTTACACAAGTCACGTTGCTTAGAATCGTAATTAAGTGATGGAATTTATTGGTTAGTACGGACGGCGTCATACGGCGGTCAAGTAGGAGGTTATGTTACATAGCTGAGTTGTTGGAATTGCAGGTAGTTTTAGTTGAAAACTTGTGTTTGAGTTTCTACTTTCGGAGTTTACATGTGCAGTTACGATTACGGTTGGAGTTTAGGTAAGTACCTATGTTAGTAAATAGATGTTAATGTAAATGCGTGAATTTTATAACCTAAAAATTATTATGGTTTTGTTTTTATGCTATTGTTGCATTTGCGTACATCTAGAATCGTGTCTTTAAAAATTTGTTGAGCTTTTTGTCGTTTTAACAACCTACTATACTAGTTAAGCAAGAACTTATATTTTATATCTCAATATCTTGGGTGGACGATAAGTTTAATTAGTGTACTTACTGAATTGATTTTATTAATTTATTTAAGTACTTATTGTTTTTCAGGCTTACAAAATGGATAAATCTACTTCAAGGATTTAGCGCAATGTTCTGTTTGCCCGAAAACATTGACATATAAGGGTTCGTCTACAAGTAATTTAATGAAGCACTTGGACAAAGTTCACAAAATTAAGATCTCAAAAACTTCTACGGCCATCAATGAACCTGCTCCGATGACATCATCTCACGAAAATCCGATTACGAACTCAAAACAATGTCCAAAAAGACCTAAAACTGATATAGAAAGCTTTTTTCGAGTTCCTGAAAATGTTTAATTATCTATTTAGTTTTACCAGAGTGTGGTACGTTTGTTTTTATTTGATAAATAAATACTTAATATACAGAGATGATTAGATACTAATATAACTTGATAAATATTTATAACAATGTATAATTGTTTGTATTAATTACTAAAAGTGTAACTGATTGAAGAATTTGTTACTTTAATATGTTAATTTAACAGTTCTTAACTTAAGTAATTAGCACTATTTTTGTACCTGGTTGGCTGGTTATATTATCTGAGTGGTAATTATCGTAATAAAAGTTGATTTTTGATATCTTTGTAGTTTTTTTCCCAGTTTCACAAAAAATTCAAGAATCGCCTTCAAAGATTTTATTTTATTCCAATCCGGTTTTTTTAGTAAGGGGATCAATGAACTGCCTATGCGATGGCAAAAGTGCATACATAACAATGGTTTTAATGGTACTTTGATTTAATAAATATATTAAAAAATATTCGACTCTTTGTTCCTCCCATACCAAACACCAATTTCATATGTAAGTACCTAATACTTCCTTGTAAAATTTGTCTATGAGCCGGCTGAATGTACAAAAACTATGTACAACCAAATAAAAATTAAAACACTTTCAGAGGAAAAAGTCGTCACAATTGAATATCGAATGGCCGACCCCGGATTATTGTTATTTTGATAAAATTTAACAAAACTGTGTGTGTTTTTTTGTCACACTGCCAAGAGCAATATTTTTAAGATAATGCAATGAAATATTAAACCCACTTAGTTTTTTTAAAGATGAAAAAATAAATACGTTGTTTTATTTTCTTTCGAGTGATTTATTAATTATAATTAGAGATGCGCCTAATAGTGGTTCACCGAATAATATTCATCATCATCATCATCATCATCATCATCATCATCAGCCCTTTAACGTCCCCACTGCAGGGACTCAGGCCTTCCTTAAGGAGGAGGAGGATGGGCCTCCACGCTGGCCCAATGCGGATTGGAAGGTATTAACGTCCTGCAAATGCAGCCGGGACCAACGGCTTAACATACCTTCCGAAGCACGGAGTAGCTCGAGATAATAATTTTTTGGTCACCCATCCCGTGATCGACCCTTGCGAAAGTTGCTTAACGACAACGATCGCGGGCCGCGGCACTTATCCACTACGCTATCGAGCTACCGAATAATATTCGGTATAACTTTATTGAACCTATTTAGTTTCCCATTTCATAGTTTTGATTTAGCCAGTGTTTCGAAGTACTATTTGTAATTAGCGTGTGAATAGGGAACATTTATTTCGGAAGCAAGGAAAGGTATAGGTATATTAAGAAAAATCCAACAGACTCTTGCCGGAGCAAAGAGCTTGGTGTTTCTGCACTATAATTTAGCATTAATTATAGATATCAGAATAAGCATATTTCTTTTTGCATATCCTTTATTTCCGATATCTATTATATTTCTATAGTGACGATACCTATTTTAAGAAATAAATACTTATGATTTGATGATTAATTGCTTTAATTTATTATCTTTATTGAACACATTCTTCATATGATTTATATATACTTATATCTTACATAAAATTAATCTTTCATTAAAAGAACTTTTAGTTCTAGAGTGTTTCTTCGGAAATTGAACTTCCTTGTTGATATATCCGTCAATATTGTTCTTCAGAATTAAAATATAAATTATAATAATATATAAAATTATAATGACGGATGTATAAAACCGGAAGTTGAATTTCCGAAGGAATACCGTCTATACCGTTTAGGCTAGAAAATAGAAATACTCCAACCGATTGTAAATAGTGAAAAAGATGCCGAGTGCTGAATACCAAACGAATATTCGGTGCATCTCTATACTCCAGCTATATTCGACGAAGAATAAACAAACCAAATTAGGGTCATTACACCTTAGATAACAAAAAAATTATATAAAACTCGTATTTCTCACCAGGATACCGCACATTACTGCGTAATTTTATGAGTAATATTTTTTACTGCTATAAATTATTACACAACACTTATAAAACTTCAATATAATGTAAAATAGTAATAAAGCTGAAATTATTTTTACTTAACAGCCCTATAACTTATAGGGTTCAGATATTAGAAACATATTTGCAGTTTTAAACTAACTTTCCAAATAAAGTTGTCAATTATTACAAAACGTGTTCCTTTAGATTGATTTGACATTTGAAATGGATCGCATAATATAGGCCGACCCCGTGTGAAAGTACGATATTTCTATCTACTTACTCAATCAATGAAGCGAAATCTGCAGGGGCACCAGTTACTATGGGCGTACCTCAGGGATCGATATTAGGACCATTGCTTTTTCTAATTTATATTAATGATCTTCCTCACTTTACGAAGAATTTGTGCGAGACAGTATTATTTGCAGATGACACCTCTTTACTGTTTAAAGTTAAGAGGGGTAATGATTGTTTTGACTATGTAAATGATGCTCTCGACAATGTTCTACAGTGGTTTGATAATAATAATTTAAAGCTCAATTCAAATAAAACGAAATGCATAAAGTTTCCATTGCCTAATGTCAGTACACTTATAAATGTAAATAGTGAAAAAGTTGAGTTAGTAGAATCGACAAAATTCCTTGGTATTACACTAGATTCCCGACTGCAATGGGATCCTCATATTGATAGCTTGTCAAGTAGACTGAGTTCTGCAGCTTTTGCTGTTAAGAAAATTAGACTCCTGACAAATGTTGAAACGGCAAGATTGGTATATTTTAGTTATTTTCATAGTGTAATGACGTATGGTATATTGTTATGGGGTTCTGCGGCTAGCATTCAGTATATATTTTTATTTTACAAAAGAGAGCTGTCCGTGCTATATATAATTTACGGTCTAGGGAATCTCTGAGAAATATTTAAAGAAATAAATATTCTGACTCTAGTTTCTTGAATGATTAAAACTCCAATAAAACTAATTAGTATCCAAAAATTATTATTTACAGTTAAAACAGAAATTTTACGTGTTATAAGAAAAATCTTAGATGACAGACACTGACGTAACAAAAAAAGACATAAAAAACTTAAAATAATATACAGCCTCTTTTGACATCTTCCCAACGAGAAAAAAAAAATATTCCTCAGTACTTGCCACTTAGCAATGTCCAGTGATGGTTTCTAAAGGATAGAGTCTTTGAATTGGTCTCACTAACGTTCCTTTACTAGTGCGTACTTTGGCAACCCT